ACACTTGCTCGTAAGCTTTTGCCTGCAACAGCAGCATCCATAACTGCAAGCATCTTTTTGTATGGACTATTCATCACAGCAACTGTGAACTGTGAAGAATCAGGGAATAAATCAGTTATTTGCAAGACACCACCACACCAAAATCTGAGAGGCGACTTTAGGACTTCTAATCACAAAGAGCTGAACAAGCTGCTAAAAGCTTTTACAGAGCTCAGTGTTATTTGAAAATAACACAAGGTCCTTTGGCTGCTTCCCATGAAGGGGTTGCCCTGGTCCAGTTTTCCAGGCTTGTGATAGACTGACTCTATGTTCTTTCATCAGTAGCAAGTCAAGTTCCAAACTGCGGTCAACTACAGTCCCAGTTTCCATCACCAACACATCAGCATCTAGTAGAGCTATATTTGCTAAACAGAGACTCTTCCATTATCAGGAGTTTTGTCCTAATTCAAGCCACACTCAACATATTTATTTAATAAGAAAAACATGCCAAGTTCCCTAAATCTATTCAAACACCTCTGATTATTTATTTATGCAAAAACAACCTCTAAGAATCAATTTCAAGCCATGTCCCAAACTTTTACTTGGTTCTATTCCTGCTTTCTTCAGGAGATGGCTTTTAAGAGATAGTCTTTTCTTTCAGGCCATATCAAGGCCCCATGAGAGGTCTACATAAGAAATTGTCACCTTCTGTTAGGCATCAGGTAGTCTCCACTCCTTTCACCAGAGAAGATGGCCCAATCTAACTTCTCAGATCCACAACTCTGCCACATCTCAGCCCAAGCACACCAGTCCATGGTATCTTTCACATGCAAAAACAAACATCAGAAGAGTAGGAAAAAACTATGAACTTGAAAATAAGCTTTTCATAAGTCACTCAATATACCCATGGCCTGTGTGACAAAGGACAAAGCACAAGAGAGAAGGAAGAAGAGGACAGAGTTGGTGCTCATCAGGAGAATGCGACAAGGATCAGCAATAAGCCAAGCCCTGAGCAAAAGATATAGTCACCCACAAGTTACCAGTTTAGGCTGCATGACCACTGCAGTAGGGTGACAAAGCCATCCTCTTGCCATATCTGCCTACAGCAACAGGATCCACAGAAGCCCTGAGTTATCATAACACCGGGATTACTAATGAGTACAGACAAGGGAAAAATAAGTGAAGCTCTTTCCAAAACAAACAGCCATAATTCAGTATCTGAGACTTCACAAATTACCTATTGAAAATAGTAGAAGCTAGATCTTAATAAAGCATAACTGCCTGGTTTAGATTTCACAGATGTTGAAAGTCTTCGCAATCTGGAATTAAACTAGGCTAATCTAAACCATAAACATGAACCATCATTTGGATTATATCTGTAAACCTCTGGTTCAATTCACAGCTCATTTTTCTGGAGTTCAATGAGCGACAAATAAACCTTAAAGAAAAAGAGTTTTGTTAGTGTCTGGTGTAATCTACTATTAAATAAGTCTTCACACTAATAAAAATCAATTTATTGTAGTTTGTAAAATGTGATTCCCACCTTGATAATTAAAAAGATATTGTAATAGAAGTCTTCAGTCCTCTTGTGCTCACATTTGTTAAGATTCGATTTTTATCCAAGCAGAAGGATTATAAGAATGTGGAACTGCTGTTACAGCCTTTGCATGAAGATATAACATTAGGCAGACAGTTTTGGTGTTACATACATAACAGGCAGGAAATTTAGAGCCCTGAGCCCCCAGCAGTCACCTGCATGCTGCTGGACCATGACAGACCAGCACAGACCAGTCCTGGCCCCCCAGCATGGGCACTAGGGCATCATTCAACTACACTGCTTCCACTTGACTATCTCTGCACCACTTTCAATATACACAGACCCTTGGTCCCAAGAGTGGACTAGTACTGCCCTTTTGCTTTGGATTCAATAGCGAGCTGAGAACAAAGGCTCTAGTAGTCAGGTAACAGCCAGAAGAATCAGAGGTGCAGTAATGGCCCTTGCAACCTCCATGGTCAGCTAATATCCAGGATCTTCTTGCCTGGTTTCCATGAGTAAGAGTCAAGTATCTTCCTGTTTAAGTGAAAAATATGTATGCACAGTATTTTTTCCTGGACTCAAGTAGGAATAGAAGGAGAATTTCCTTGCAGACATTTTCAAACCTAGCTTCATAACCAACACCCTGCACGAGAAGACTCTCATTGTCTTGGCATCATCTTGGGGCACAGCACCATTGCCCCTTTGGACTTTTCTTGGCCCATTTGCCACTTGACACGTAGAGACTCATACACCCATGAGCCAGTTGGGGTTCCAGCTCTGTACTCACAGCTGTACTTTGGGACAACTCTTCAAATTACCCCAGGTTAATTTGGATTCAGATCTTCTGAAAGGCCAGTGTTTTGAGTGGTGCTTTCCATTGTCCCAGTTATCTTGGCCAAAAAAATTCTTGACTGTTTCTCCCACTAAGCCGGTGTTATGAGCAGAGGAGCTACCAGCCACTGATCAAAAGGTCCACTCTGGAAGCAACATTCTCATGGGCACTGACTAATGCAAGAAGCTCACGAGAAGCAAAAATGGGACCAACTGCGGGGAAATGCCATCAGTTGCAACTCACAGCTCAACAGCAAAATCCTAAACGGCAGATGCTGCACCTTGCACCCAGCTCTGATGAATGGGACCCTGCACTCCAGAGGCTCACAAATGCTGACAATGTCCCTGGCTTATGCAATTCCCCTCCCCTTCTGACTTCCCTTGGCTGAAGGCAGCATCCTGGATCTGAACACTGAATCTCAGCTGTTGGAGTAAGCGCAAAGGGAACCCAATTGCAAAATATAAATCCTTCATCATCCCTTCCTAAAAATCTGACAAACACACCCAGTTCTAGAAAGTGCCCAAGCTCAATGTTTATTTAACATGCATTCCTCCAGCTAGTGAGAGATTAAATACATCTAACGAGACAAACATTCCCGTAACACGATTAATAATAATAAAAAAGAAAAAAGGACAGACTTCACTCTCTCTTTCTACAGAAACAGAGTTTGGAAGCACCACAGAAACAGGGTGAAGCCTCAGAAAATGCTTAAGTCTTACCCATAGATTAATTGTTTCTAAAAATGTTCAGAAAGTAAGTACCCCCCCCGACCAAGTTGATGCCCACCACAGGTTCTCCTGCTCTGCCCATTGCAGCCCGACACAACCAAAGTACAGAGGTCTGTAATTCAGTTTATTTGTTCATGTCTAGCCATACAGAAAAAGACCATCTCTCTAAAGCACCTAAGAGCTTTAGGCTGGATAACTTCACTCAGACAAGTTCCTGTAAAGAGAAGAGAGAAACTTGGCTAACTAGAAGAGTAGCTATGAGTAAAACATAGTAAGAGATGGAGACAGAAGAACACAAGGACCACTGCTACCATTTGGAGATTACAGCTTATTATATAGAGTCTAACCAGCAAAATGACCGGGGTTTTGTATAGTGACAGGGCAGAATGGGAAGGAAGATCACACACACAAAGAACGGCACAGGAGCAAGCACACACGTTTCTCTCATCTGTAGCTTCCACAGCAAAACAAGGACTTCAACTTTACTTTGCATTTGAATCAGTCCCACTGCAGTGGAAGTGAGGATAAATAAAGAGCCAAATAAACAAACAAAAAAAAATCACACTAAAGAAACCCACGAAGTGTAATACACATATTAATGTTGAATCTTTTCTTTAGGGACCATTTTCAAATTGAGTTCTACACTTTAATCTCCAATTTCCAGCACATGAGCACAGTTGCTGTCATCTGTGTGTGAGTCACTAGAATCATTGGTAGCTACAGCATAAAAGTCAGGAAAATAGGTGAAACTTTTAGGTTTCCCCCACCACCACCACCAAAGAAATCAGTTCAATGTATTGAACAATGAAGGACAAAAGTGCTCATTCATCTCCTACTTTGAAATATCAGTACACAAAAGCCTCCACAACCATCATGCCACATAGAGTTCTAGGAGGAAAAAAGAGCAAAGCAGCAAGTGGTGGTGGATCAGCATTAATTTTGTACAGACACTCCAAAAGCCGTATCTGGTTCGGAAAAGCATCTCTCCCTCCAGCTCCTCTCCGTGCTGCACACGAGAGGGCACTGTGCTGTAGGCGCAGTGGATAAAGCAGCACAAATTAATCATGTGCTGCAGATGAAAATTGTTGTGCTAGAGCCAAGCAATTAGACCTTCTCTGGAGAGTAAACTGCGTAGCGAGAAGCAAACCTGCCAATTAAATCAGCATCTTCAAACACCTCAGGAGATCCTTCACTTCAGTGACCAGGGTTATAATTTGTTTGCTGAAAATCAGGCATTTATCTTACCATGATTATCAGTGTTATCACTTTTTTTCAGGTATTACAAGACTGGAGCTGACTGCACACAGGACAACAGCTTTTTGCTGGGTATCTACTGGAGAAATCAGGGGTGATAGGGACTACACAAGGCGCAAAGACCTTCTGAAGACTTACAGGTCCAAGCCATGCTGGAAAAATCATTTCAGGTTTAGACAAACAGATCCAAAAACTCTGATTAAATCCAATGGTAAGTAACTGGTTAGAAATTGAAGTGACAGCTTAGTGCCTCCAACTTGTGCATTAGGCAGAAAACAGGTGCCAATATTTCAGGTGCTTTGGTCTACTACTAAGTGGACGCAGAAGAAACAGAAGGGATAGAAACAGCCAAAAAAGTTCTAGCCAAGAAAGCAAACTAGTAAGCAGGTGTAATGAACATGAGAAAGCTCACAGAGCTGTAGCTGCTCCAGACTAAATGCCGAAGTCTGTTCATTTTAGCAAAATCACTCCACATTTACCTTGCTCTGGACCACATGGGCTACGTTTTGCTTTCGTCCCCAGACGACTGACACCTTTTTGTTACCTGCTGCATTTCTGACGTGTTCTCTGAGCACAAAAGCACAGCATTCATCATCGCCTTCCTCCCCTCCTCCTGTAACTCACCCAAGCAAAATTAACAGAAAAGGGTATTATTTAAAACACAGCCATCCGCCTCCTCTCAGGACCTGGGTTTAGGCTTCTGTATTTCTCTTGCAGCACGTGTTGACAGACGCCACATTCCTGACGCTGCCGTGAATTTCTGCAATGGGGTTAAGACAGAGGCACGGCCTTGGAACATAAGCAAGGCAGGAAATCGGTATCTGTTCATGTAATATAAAGAGAAATGTATGCACAGCTTCCCTGAAGACAATAATGCTCCTACTGAGGAACCGGGACCACCGCCTCCATATCAGATTACTTGCACCCCAGACCATTTTACTTCCCTCCCATTCCAATTATAGCCTTCAAAATCTTATAAGTAAGTGGCCAAAAAACATATCAGTCTAGTCATCGTGTCTGGTTTTCCTGTGCTTTTTCCTCTTTTTGTGCTAGAGGACCACACGAGCACCACATCACCCAAACACAGCTTGCTGGGAGTCCAGCCTCGCTGTGCTGACCACAGCACATTCCACTGACCCATGTACCACCACAGGGACTTTGCAGCAGAATAAGCGTTGCATAAAGCCTCTGGATTAGAAGCACCCTGTGAGTGCCAAGTTGAAGATCAAATGGAGGTTTTTTCTTAAATTAAATAACCTGAAGATGTTCTTGGTCCAGCATTGTTGTGTATTACCAAGGGCAGTGTGAGCGCCTGGAACAAAACTCTTTTGTCCTTAGGTAGCCTATGAACTTCCTGAACTCATCCAAGCCTACGAATCACTAGTTCATCTCTACATGCCACAGTAAGGGATATTCATGTCTCCCTTGCCAATGCTCTGTATTACTATGGAGTCATTATATCATCATCTGTATTTCAGAAAGATGTTTCAAACATCTGGTTAGCTTTAAATGCACAAAACCACATGCACGCACCAGTATTTTCCACGTTAATCTGCTTCTCCCATGGTTATGAGAGAACACAAGAGCAGATGAACCTCAATGACTCCTGATTGATGATGGACATTCTGTTTACATTTCAGCTGACAACACTAAGGTATTTCCTCTCCAGCTGCAGCCAAACAACAACAGAAAAATAGAGTGAACGCCACCAAAACCCCTAATCACAAGTCATGGACTCTGAGCCCGCTGTCTCCAGGCCACATGAGCTATAGAAGTAATAACATCGCAGCAGCAAATACAGAACATCCTTCATCCATATTCCAAAGGGATGCAGATGGATAACATTATTTTACCTATTGTTTAGAGGTACTTCCCTCTGATCTGGAAACCATTTAACGCAATAGAAATATTTAAACTTCCTTACTCAGTTCCATGATAATAGAAGCAAAGTGGAATTTGACTGGAAAGGCAAGAGGGGCACATTGCAGTTGCAAACCAAAATGATCACCTGTTTTGAGGGACTCCAGGGAGCAGAGCATCACCAGGATCAGCCTCCCAGCTTCACTACAGTGTGGTGCAGCACTGGATTAGGACAAGAAACCACTACAAGTCACACATCTGACCTAAAACACTTTTTTCCTGGTTTTGCTACACAAAACCTAAAATACCTCCTTTCCCAAAATAAGGTATTTATTTCTTTTGATAAGTTAATAAAAGGGTTTGATGGGTGGAGGATTTACTATCACTCTTTACTTCATCATAACTCTCTCTTCTGATGGAACACTGGAAACACTACAAAGAGAATGGTACCTGCAGAGATGCCTTAAGATGAATTAGATATGAAAGGAAGGAAAAATATACTCCAAATTTCCTTTGTCTTGACAAAATCAGTTTGCCTGTGCTTCAGATCTCCTGGAGCAATACATAAAACTGCCCTCAAGTGGAGATCTGTTCTGTAAAGGCACCTAAAGATATCTAATCACCGTTTTACCGTTTTGCTTGACCACCCTTTTATCTAAATATTTTCTCTGATGTTTAATGAAAGAAAAGTTTGAAGCTGGTGATGAGCATTAGGCTCAAGTGCTCCACCTCCTCTGATGAATGCACCAGGGAGACAGGAGACAAAGTGGTCTGAGCCAACACTGCCTGCTGCAAGGCTCCAGCCAACAAGGACATCATCGTGATTGCATCTCAGTCTCTCTTTTCCATCTCAGGAACACCAGTCCTTTCCACTAGAATACAGCAGGATTTTTAAATCTGTTTATTCACAAAGCTTCGAGTCCTGAAGGGACCATGATATCATCAGTCCTGACCTCCTGCATCACCCCAACCATTACATTTCACCCACTTACCCAGCTGTAGAAAGAACTAAAGCCCTACAATTAAAGCTTCAGCTGGGTCCTGGCAAAAGCTCCTCTCCTGTGCAGACAGGTTTGGTCTGACAGGCACCAAGAGACAGTAAATCCTCTGTGGCACTCATACTCAGAAATGCGTGCTTTGTATCTAAGTTTGACTGTGTTGGGGTTTAGCTTCCAGCTAGCGTTCTCACCGTATCTTTTCCTTTTGTTTCCAAAATTTTCTCTCTCAAAGTGAACCCAGTGCATAAATACCAAGTCACTTCATTTCTTTTTCCCTGCATAAATTCAGTAGATTAAGGGCTTTTAAATATCTTGCTTTCCCCAGCTCCCAAATAACTTTCCTAGCCCCTCTCCACATTGACTTCTGTATGTTGACGTCCTTTTGAAAAGCAGACCAAACCCATATGGTTTGGTGGAGGAACACAGGCTCTCCTGCACACACCACGCAGCACCACACTGGCTTTTTTTTTGCCAGCCTGGCACAGTGGGAGCTCATTCTGCCCTTCACAAAGGCATTAATTTCTGCACCACAGACGGCAGTGCCACCAGCACCGCTTGCCTGCCTTGTTCCCAGGTGTAGAGCTACGTTTGCATCAAAGTGTGTTTTATTTACACGGGCTGAGCTTAGCAAGCCTTCCAGACCACATGGCATTACTCCTTTAGTCACCACTATGCGCTTCCCAGCCAAAGTGTGAGCTGTACAAAAACTTCATCAGCAATAATTTTATCATGACTTCAGGTTGCTGATGAGATGATGGAATAACAGTATGCCAAGCTCCATGAAGCCCAGCAAGCAACTTCTCTTATTTCATGAGGGCTCCCCGATGATGGCTATTTTTTTTTTCAGATGTATCAGCCAATTCTTTGTCCATTTGGTGCGCGTTTTATGCTGTAAAATGCTAATTTCTTTCTTTAGATACACATCCAACACTTCAGAAAAACATCCAACTTTATTTCAGCTACCTTTGTCAACCATATCCTTAAAAATGAAGAAATTTCTGTTTGACAGTTGACCCCCATTTGAAAGCATCCACCAAACCCCATGTTTTTGTCTACAGAATCACAAAAGGAATAGTTTATTAGTGCTTTCTCCTCCACTACAGGAAAACCCACAGGGAAACAGAGCAAGCAATCAAGTAGCAATAGCTTACTCAGTTGTGAAGTCCAATCTAAGTATCAAAGGCAACAGCTGCTTTCTCCAGTACTTTGCAAGGAGAGAAGCAGAAAAGCAGACAAAAGCATTCATCAGTGTAGGGCACTCAGAGCAGAGAATATGCAGCTCCCAAGAGATAAACATCATTCAGCTCTCCAGAAGCACAGGCATTAACTGGTAATTGCTTTGAGAACACTAAAAGCTGAAAGGTAAATAGAGTCCTCACATTTCCCTAATGTCGGTCAAATAATGCTCTGCTCATTTATCCAGCAAATCCAGCTCTTAGTTTAAGTCATAACAATCTATAAACAGACTGTGCCTCTGCCACAGATTTCTACAGCTTTAGCTCTGAAGAACAGCCTGAACAGACAAACTGGAATTGCTACAGACAGAAATGAGTTGCTGTGAGCCGAGGCTACCAGTGCCACTCAATTAGTCAACCTAGGCCAGATGCTTTCATTTCTGCCCCTGACTTGACAATCAAAAGGCTTAAACAAATTGCACGTCTTCCAACTTGTCTGCCAGTTGCCCACCAAACAGCTATAAACATTCAACAAGTCCCTTTGGTGAGTAATTGGAAGAGAATTCGCCAGCAGTCGTGCGAGCACTCTCGATGTGGATTCTCTTGTGAATATTTACTCGCACAAGTATGCAACGTGATGTTGCTTTCCCACAAATGTTCTTGCCAGCGCAATTTTTGCTCATCCGAAGTGGTTGGGGAATAAACAAAGAAGTATGGTCAAAAAATACCAGCAAAGCATATCAGTGCATTCTAGATGGAAAATATACTCACGGAGGATGAACCCGACCATGTGATGAGGAATGGCTTGGTGCCCATTCACTACATCATTTTCCCTGTGTAGGGCAAGAGGGCAAATTTGACTCACTTTCTTCTCCCCTCTCTACTTTTGCAGCCACACACTCATTTATAAGCGGAAATAGAGGTAACCTAGTAGTAAATACCAATAAGAACACAGATGAAAACGATCACATAAATGAAGTACTTCATGCAGTTTAATCATACAGCCAGAACTCAGCATTGCCTTGGGCTCTGCGGTGATCAGAGCATGCCATAACTTCAACATGATGAAAAGAGACTGGGGATCAGTTTGCGAAGAGTATTTCAGACACTTCAGAAGTGTGGGATATCTCAGGACACACATGGGGCTTTTCCTCCTGACATGCTACGTTTGTGATAAGAAACATCTGGGAAGACAATTGCTTTTCGCAGCGCACAACCGAAATCCACGGGGACACCGTGATCCTTTATCCAGACCTAACCACGTGCTCCTGGAGCAACTGGAACTAAAGATTCTGGTTTTGAAAGGCCTCTGCATGACATTCGGTTCACTCTGAACAACAATATCCAGCCCCTACTTCCAAGGGCTCCATCGCCCCTCAGTTTCCATGAGCAGAAGCATCTTCTTTCATTTCAAAATCAGAAATGCCTACAGGAGGGGGGCAAAATATGGAGCCTGGTCTCCTGAAAGCAAGATTAAAATCCAAACACAGTATCTATTAGAGCATAGAGACCTTTCTGAAGCGGCATGGAATGGGCAGATAATACCAGTAGCACAAACATGCAATGAAAGAAGAAAAGTACCTGGTGCAGGTGCTCAGGAGATGAATTCACACAGGACAGAAGCAGCGTGTTGGATCAATAATCCTGCCTGGAAAGAGAGAAAAAAATGTAATTAATACTTTTTCAAAATTTAAAATAAATATTTCCATAATTGAACAAAATAAAGATAAATTAACTTATTAAGCATGCTTATTCATTAAGAATTAGAGACCTTGGGTTTGTTTTTGATTTACACCATGAACTTTCTTCTGTCCTGTAAAGGAACAGTTACTGTGGTTTATAATAATAATTATTCAGCCTTCTTTTATTCTCCAAAAATATTTTGTTCTGACAAATAAAACACTTGGAAGAAAAATGTGAAATAGTTTTAAAAAACCCTATGTGAAAGTTTCATGAAGAGGCTTCTTCAGCAGCTGGTTCCTTCATGTCGGTGTGAAGTCCATCAGGCAGTTTCTTGGTAGTACAAACATTAGTGACAACCACAGATCCCATTCATATCAGAGCTTTGCAAAACCCTCTATGGGAGACCACTTTTTACTTTGTTTTAATCACCCCAGCATTTAAAAAACACCCCAAATATTTAAACAGACACCTAAAAACTTCAGGGATGTGGCTTTGATTGCCATTAGCAGTGCCTTCCATAAGCGTTAAGAGGCTTAACCACAAACCAGTTTCATAAGAGGAGCAAGAACAAGAATTAAATGCGATTGCTGCTAAAAGCCAAGTCAGGTTCTTATCATTCGAAAAAGACTGTCTAGTCTTGCCTCTAACGTGAGCAGAAACAAGAGACCACCTTGCCTGGGGAGTATCCAGTCCCTGGGCAAGAGCTGGTCCTCACTGGGACAAGGTGCACTCACCCGATCACTTACTTCTCCCTGGCACCCATGCCAGCTTATATTGTTTTACCCACAAAAGTCTCCAAACACTCAACGCAACTCTTAAAAGTCTCAACACCCAAAGGCTCTTGTCGCTCTGAATCTTTCAGCTTTACCATTAAAAGAATAAATCCCAAGCCACTGTGGTCACAGAGAAATCCAGTACACAAGCACTGATTTTACCCAGAAGCCCAGCTGTTAGAAAGCAAGCTGAAATACTCCTACATTGATTGATTTCTGATGAAACTTACGATTATTAGCAACCGACACACGATCTCTAAGTGTGCAGGGTTGGCAGAGCTGCAAATCCTTTTGACTCACAGCATTTGTGGGGGAATCCCCAACTGGCCTTCGCTCCCCACCCACCCGGGGAGCACTGATGCAAAAGAAGGCTTTTTCCAGGTCCATAAACATGTCTGGAAGAGAGCGTGCCTCCCCCTTCACCATGGCCATGGGAGATTTCTTTGTCAGCGTATCTATGGCAAAGCTGTTGCACAATAAACAACATGAAGTGTCCTGTCAAAATACAGCCAGTGTTTTGAAATCATAAAAAGAATGCTGAAAAGATAAATATTGATGGGGTTTGATGAACTGCAGCACTGTGCTAATGAAATCAAGACTTCAGAAATGCGCTTGGACTGCCCTTCACCCAAAATGAGTAAGACTTCATTGTAAATATTGCTATTCACAGAAACAATTTATACACTGTCTCGGTGGCAGAGAGAGTACAAATGGTAGATCAAAGGCAGAGAGTAGAATCTTTTCATTGAGCTGCAGTGAGAAACACTAAAGCAAACATTTCCTCCTCCTTAACATCCCTTGGCCGGCAGTGGCAAGGTGGGTTGTTACCATCTGCACATATGCACAGATCAACACCTGAGCTCTGGTTGATCCCAGAGAGCAGAGCATTCATTTTAATTCCATCCCCCCAGATGCTGTCCAAGACACAAGGAGGAGAGCCCTTTTGGGAAGGGTAGATGACAACCACAGGGATTACGGGAGTCAAGCCAAGGAAATCCTTCTGCATCCAGCAACTGGGGACCCCCCTGCTTAAATCCCCAAGATCACAATTATGTCCTTGCATTACATTTAATCTCAGGCTAAGGTTGGGGCAGCCAGCAGCATTATGGAGCTAACCCCTCCGATGCTCTGAAAGCACTCGGATTCTGCATCGCAAGAGTTACAACTGCAAAGCACATCGAGTCTTAGCTCCTTTCCAGTGAGCTCTTGCTGCAGATCCACAGACTGGACTCTTTTGCAGACATCCTGCTTTTCCCACCCTGTAAAACGCTATTCCAGAAATTCCTTATAAACGCCTTTCACATTGCGTTATATTCCCCCAGCAAAAAATAAGCCAGATAAGAAATGCCTGCCTACAAGTGTTAATATCAAACTTCTAACACACCTCAACTTCAAAGAGATTCAAAAGGAAAAACTGCTCATCCCAGCTACAGCCCCTACCTCCAGTGTCTCTCAGGTGTTTAATAATCAGGTTATGCCATGAAATGCATGCATATTAATGGGTTCCCCAACCATTCTTAGGTGGCTGATAGGGTTCTTCTAAACCCCTCCAAAATGATCAGCAAGATTAAAAAACAACAAATCAAAACCACATATGGTAGCACGTTTGAACACAATGGTTTTAAGAGGAAATAAGATCTCTCTGTAGACTCCACATCCTCTAAATCCATTCTGTGAACAGATAAAAGCCACATTGTAGTCAAGTCTCCACCTAAATAGCAAAAGCAAAATCTAGGTCAGCATGCTCTCATAGGAGCTGATATATTAATCAGTGGCGCTTCCAAAGGGATTTTTGACTAATGCTGTGTTTTTATATAGGAACTGGCAGCCACCACCTTTCGCAACTCAATACTCTCTCGAAGGCTCAAAAATTACACTCGAAAAGTGATTTTAAGCCGGTTGGAAAAACAAGGCTGGTTTTGCCCTTATTCAAAGGGGAAAGAAAAAGAAAGAAAAGATGATGCTATGCATTGGTAGCAGCAGCTTCAACACAGGACTTCCAACAAGAAATGTGTTCTCTCCTTGCAGGTGAAGACAACCCGCTTGTTCAAGGTCCCACAGCAAGACCAGGACTCCAATCTCTGCCGCAAGATGCACTCATCCAAAGTTTGCACCATAATAATTTAAAATGGGAACCAGTCGCAGGAAGTTTTCTGTGGCACTTGATTTAAGCAGGACCATCTTTGCTGGCTGGAAATGAAGTTTCTCAGCCCAGTTTTTTTGGGACTGGGACTCAGGACATGGTTCCTCTTGGATGCATTGAAGGAACTTCACATTCTCTGCCCAAACAGTCCGCAGAGACATGTATTAGTTCTGACAATATCTGGTGGAAAAGAATCTGAGGTCCAGCGTGAGCCATTTGCTGTCTCCAGAGAGATGAATGGAGGCAAACTGGTGGGAGGGGGAGCCTTTTCTATCCAAAAAATAAATGTTTTGTCTCCATTCCATTCAGAAGAAGGGAAAAAAAAAAAAAGGAAAAAGAAAAAAGAAGAAGAAAAAGCGCTCGTGCTAAAAGGTCTTGTTTTCATTCCTTTGTGGAACCAAACCACATTTTAAACCTCAATGTTTGTACAACACAGAGATCTGTTTTCTGGTCATTTATAACTTTCACTCTATCAGCAGCTCCCACTGCCAAGAAGCAGGTGACGCCACGGGGCGTCCCCAGCCCGTGGGCACGACTGCAAGGGAGCCTGGAGCAGGGAAGTGTTTTATTCCCTGACCCTCCAGCCGCAGTGATGAATTACCTGCTTTCCACAAGGACACAAAAAGCTCTGACTAGAAAGAAAACTCCCAAACTGTTTTTCGGCCTCCATAAAGCAAATTGCCTGAATGCTGAGACCTTTCCTCTCTCCACACAGCCTCACCTTACAAACCCAGGATCCACCTCCATCCCACCTGAGATTTCCAACCTCCTCCCTCTCCCCCAGATCCAGCCCCAAAACCTTTTGGCTTTGCAAGATGCAGGGTTGGATGCTGGCTGAGCTCCTGCACATGCCATAGCACAGCAGCTGAGAAGGGCAGGAAAATGGGGGCAAGAGAGGAAAAGGATGATGTTACTCAATTCCAGCCATTTTCCAGGAGCTGGGTGTGCAGATTTGGGTGCCAGCTCTCCTTCCCAGGCCTGGAGAAGGTCACCCTCTCATGCTGCCTGATGGCACGTGCCCTTCACCTCAGCAGCTGAATTCTGCTTAGGCAATGCCAGCAACATCCAGGGGTTTCCTTCTTTAGCACTTGCTTTGTTACGTGCCAAGGAGCAGCGAAAATCCATCTCCTTCAGGGCATACCAATAACCAGACCAAACAGACAGGAGCTACTGGACCTCTGCTAAACCCCAGCTCCTGTTTCAGAGAGAAACACTCCTGAGTGTTGCTTATCTGCACAGCATTGAGATGGGAGTGCTCGCCAGAGAGAAACAAGGGAAGAATTGCAAACAGCATTAGCTCAATTACGTATTTCTGATGACAGCAATTTAAGAAAACAACAAAAATTTATAATAAACCTGAAAATTTAATAATAAACCTGGTCACACTGTCTCCATAGATGCCTGGCACTGCTGAAGCTCCTACTGAAGGATACAAGTGCTACTTCATATAGCTGTGCTGTCAGCTTCAGCAGAATAGTAGGTGGCAAGCCACAACCATTTGTGATCTGCTACCTTATACACGAACCAGAAAAGAGTCCTGAAGGGGTAACATCCCCCAGTCACTGTCTGTCTACCAAAACCAGTGATGAAGTGGTTGCATCTAAATTCCCATTCTGTGTTTTGCAAAAGGTTTGGTTTTTTCCATCTGCAACAGTTTTATTTGCAATAAAGCCAGCAACATGGACATATCTCCTTCGTTCTTGTGACCCACTATCTTCTCCGGAGTCTGCAGTCTCACTGTATGAGCTATTTATCTCCAAACCCAAATAAAGAACATTTTTAGGCTGTGCCATTGCATGGGAAAGATGCACTTAAGTTAACAGCTTGAATTAACAAGCCAGTAAAACTTAAGATGACCTTCTTTGTAATTTTTGGCATTAAAGGAAGAATCAAGTCTTCCCTTTTTCTTTACATTTTTTTGTTAGCATGGCAGAAGATGGGCAAATAGAGCACTGCCTGCTGTATCAAATGTTCCATTTAATTTTTGCTCTCTAACAAATAGAAGGAAAAAACCCTCCTCACCTAAAAAGGCTCCTCTCAGATACAGGCTTTTACTGAATGATAAACAGTATAATGATATTTTAAGTAGGCTGACCACAAAGAACCAGTATTCAAAATATCCACTGCATCTTTTGCAGCTGAAAAGGCCTTGAGGGGAGAATAAGGAAAAGGGAGAAACTATTAAAATCACATTTCAACACAATGATAGTATTTCTCAGTACAAGGCCATTAAAGAGATACACAGATACCTCCATCTCCCATTGAGATTGTGTTCCCCTATTTATATAAAATGGGATGCTCATTTACTAGGACCGTGTTGCAATCTGATTCAATAGTAGACTGCCCAATTCCTCCACTCCCCCAGCAGCTTAAACAAAGTCCCACCATGAGTGCAAGGTACCGAGATGGCAGATGTGCTGCAGGCACACACTGCTCCTGCATCCCTTCAGTGGGAAGCCTGCTGAGTGCCCACGCTCCCTCATCTGCCCTAGAGGGACAGCTTGGACTTCTTGGTGAAAGGTCTAGCACAGCACACGGGCAATTTGATCTCAGCATGGAGAAATGGATCTCAACATCCATTTTTAGAGGCTGCCAGGATGAAACACCACACAGGATCACACATGCTGCTCCAGCCTGGCCCCTGATCCATCCCGTTTTCTTTCCCAGCTATTAATACTGCACTTCTATTATTCACTCAAACAATCTCCATGCACTTCAAGTGCTAATAAATTAAGTTCATGAGTACCAATGCACTATGCATACATTTTAACACCCACTTCATGGACAAGGATAATATTAAACCCTGGATTACAGTAATGATTCACTCTGAACATAACATCGAATCAAGTGATGAGCTTGGCACTAGGGACATTACCAGGACTCCTACCACTCCCTCAAAGGCATGTGTGGTACCAAAATGACTCTACATCCAGTCACACTTACTCGCCAAGCCTACCCACTCTCCAGCAGCTATGTCCTTGATCAAAGACAGGATTATTTTCTTTTCCTGTTTCATTTTTAGCCAGCACTGTTGTGAAGGAAACATGCACCCCGCAGATGAACTAGGATAGACTCAGCAAAATTTCCTGGTTAAAAAAAATAAACACATGCACAAAACAAACCAGTGGTTCCTGTTTTCAGAAAACACCTTCAGAAGACAACTGTACTGTAGATAGCTCAAATGCATACATGGGTTGCAGCAGAATTCATGCTTCCCCTTTCCATGGCTCCCATGAAAACTAGTACGCCCGATACAGATTCCTGCAGTCTCAGTGCTGCCCAGCTGCTACCCCAAAGCCAGCACCTACCCACTGCCTGCTCTTGGAAGTAACCCCTGAAGGAATAAGAAACAACTTCTGCAGGTGCTTAATGGAAAGTAGCTAACGAAATAGATTTTTGGGGGAAAAATCTACCCAAGTACGGATATAAGTGCTTGAGGCAGTTTCAAGAGTGCAAGCCTAAGTGCCAAGAATCCTAAATCACACTTTCAAAGCTCTTCCAATACCTAACAGGTGAAAGCAAGCCCTACAGCTGAATCACCAGAGAGGCTCTCAAAAAATCCCAGCTCAGCTGCTATCTAATCCCAGAAACATTTGGGCCCTACAGACACGAAAAGCAACTTCAAGGATTTCCAGGTATTCAGCATTCTGCTCCCGGTCAGGCAGGATGAATTTTGGTTGGGAGAACTGTGTAACTCAAACCCTATTTCCAGATCTAATCAAGTCATAGTAGATACACAGTGAATCAGGACCTGAGTTTTGCATAGCTGCAGAGCCTCATGCCCTCTTGCCTAGGATTAAACATAAACATACGTAAACTGAGAGAGAAACATGGTCTATCACTTTTGGGGATTGGTGTTGTCCATCTTCCCCCCTCAAATTCCTTTTTCTCTGGTGGTGTGGAAAGATTCACTTCAGAGCAGGAAGACTTCCCAGATTCAGGACATTCTGATAACAAACCCATCTGAAAAGGCATGGGGCAATTCTTTAATGAGAGCAGAAAAGGTGAAGGTATCTGTTTCACACACAGGCCAAGGGAGTTCACTACTCAGTTGTCTATGAGGTGTTTGGTGGTGATGCTCTCAAGTGATTGCAGCTGCGATGAGATGACACTCAGCTGGGCAGGGAAGGCAAGAGGGACTTTTAAATAAAAGTGAGGCAAACATCACAGTATCTACTCCAAAGATCATTAAATCCATGGAAGTCTTTCAGACAGCTTCCAAAGAGTTTGGATGAGACCCAGAAGCTGCTTTTCATCCACAGTTCACAATGACCTTACTAGAGAGAGAGAACAAAAAGCCTTTTTGTTCCCATTTTCCAGATGTGGAGACGAAGGAAGAGAGAAAGCTGATACAGAGCAGGTCACAGAAGCAGAGTTGGGCACAGGGTCACTCCAGATCCCCATAAAAGATATGGCAGTGTGGAGAGGAGGTATCAAACAAAAACCCTTCTCACAAAGAGCAGAAAGGGGTTGCACTCATTTTCTTACTGTAACACACAGAGATGATTTTTAGCGGAAGAAAGCTGGTGCCTTCCAAGTGAGAGCAGAGAAGCAGAAGGTAACACGGTGCCTACCAGAGACATCACAATTATTTAGGACTGTAGGGTGGCATTACTGTCAGTCAAGCTTACAGGTTCACAAGGAGAGGAACAGAAGATGATAACAGCAACATTTAGCACAATAAAAGCAAGACACTTGGTACATCCATCCATTTAAAAGCTATAAGAAAGGGTAAGAAATAACATGCAGACATACCTTTTGATGATGCTGAAAAGCACAAGACCAACAGGCTTATGAGAAGCGGAAAGTAAAACCAAGAGCTATTTTTCTACTAGGAAATGTACCTCAGAAACCAGAACAGCTTCTATATTTTGAGACTTTGGAGCCCCAGGGCTGAAAGACTGGCACCGAATATTGCTCAGAACAAGAGGGGAAAAGAACAAGATGAACTTTGCATCCGAGACAGCTATAATCTCTCCTAATTCAAAGCAGGCAGCACAATAGCATAACTAAACCATAAGGGAAATAAACCAAACCACAGCTTATCCTCCCACCCACCCCTGTAAATCACAAACCATTGAAATCAAATAAAGGCAATTCAGGGATACAGAAGAGAGTGACACCTCCCTAACCTGCTGAGCTCAGAGGCTGCTGCGGCTCAGGAAGGACAGGAGGACATTGGGCTCAGGCCAGGTCCCAGAAGAGGTGGCAGAATCTCCAAGCATCAGTCCGAGCGTAGCACCTTGCAAGCTAAAATCCAGGAGATGGGGAAGACCAGTGCAGCTCCCCAGGAAAGGGAGGCTCACCACCTACCCTCCACCTCTATTACTGTCCCTGGCATAGCTATTAAATGAAAAACAAAACCCCAGCTCCAGGTTGCTCCCTCCCAAGTAGGCTCTCACGCCTAAAGGCACCTACTCCTAAGAGTCATTTCAGGGCTTGTTTCTCAAGCAATGCTCCCTGTCTGTTCTCCATATGGATGGTTTCCTCCTCCATCAAACCTGCTTTGCTCTGGGAGCTTAAGCAACATCAGAGCAGCTCCCAGAGCCCCTTGCACACCACACAAGCAAGGTGGCAAAGGGCTCTTGCAAACACTTCTGCAAACCCTAGCTCAGAGGGGGGAGGTTTCCATCATGCTGCTAAAAGCTACAACAGCTCTTCATGGAATCATGTGCACTCACACACTGACCCCAGCAACAGAACAGGATGCAAGAAGTACAGAGCCATGCTTGGCTTTGCAGTGGTGGGCTAAAGGAAGGTGAGACAGAGCCAGCATCTTTGATGAACTACACCAAGCATCAGTGCCTTGGGACAGGGCAAGAAGCTGGACATCAAAGAAAAAGCTGATCCTACACACCAGCACCATTAATCTGTGTTAATCTGCCAGCAAACTGGAGGCTGACTTAAGAGATGGGAGAGCACAGACTTACAAGGATGTGGCAGGGTCTCAACAAGAAAGTCTGCAGTTGTGAAACTGAAGGTTCATTTTCCACTGGAAGAGGGAGAGGAAAGCTCAGGCACCAGAATGCATAGAAAGACAAGGCTGGCAGCTCTCACTGAGTTACTGCGTGTCCCATGTTACATGCGTGTTCCTAAGTCCAAGCGCTTTGAATCATGGCAACACTCAATAATTAACTTCTGCTAATTACTGTTTAAATTCCAGGACTTAAGCTTTTAATGTATAGGGCTGCAGAGAGAACTTCAAAATGACAGCAAAGTGCTTCTTAAACTAAAAAGGAGCCCAACACAGAAAACCCTAGGAGGTGGTAGAGGAAAAGAACCCCAAATTTATTAGACATATGAGGCCTCATAATTTTGAAACCAGCCTTGCAAGGTTGGAAGCCAGGTCACAACTTACTAAGAGCAAGAGCCAGCAATACTGTGAGTATGAGCAAACAACATGCAGTACAGAATGTGAAATGTTCTGAATTACTGGATGTGGTTGTGCTAGATCCTTCACTTATTCATTTAGTTTTAATGCTAAAGGTGAGGCCAGATGCATACTCCTGTCTGTACGAAGACACCATGGAGGTGAGTCTAGGTGATTCCCTATGATCAAAATCTCCACCTGCTTGCAGCCTGAATAAGCCATGCTTATTTTTAAACAAACAAGGTGCTAGGTAAATAAAGCCCTGCTCCAGGGACGTGCTGGCCATGCCTCAGAGCTGATTCCAGCCTGCGCAGGAGATCTGGCATGCAGGCAGCATCTTCCAAGTAGCCAGGCTGTGGCCTTTGACAGCTGAAATCTTTCAGTTTTCTGGGTTTTTTTCCTCCAAAAAGGGGGGAGAAAGGGATGATCAGTTCTTGAGTGACAAGAGAGCTGTATCTGAAGCATTCCATCAGCAATGGGTTGGAGCTGTAGGAGCTCATCCATCACATCTCTGCAGTGGAAGGACAAGCTCCACTACCCACGTCCTGAACGGGTCACTCATGGAATTGCCTGGGTTTATCCCACAGCCTCATGCAGCTCCGTCTGCAGCTATTACCATGCACATCTATTCCATGCCTCAGCGCAGACATGTTCTATGCCACGGGAAATGAGCAGTTTCAGTGCTTATCAGTTGTAAAATCCTTTGTAATCAGCAGCTGCGAGTGCGCTGCCTCCACAGCCAAAGCAGAATAGGTACATTTCTTCTCTACTTTATCCCACCTATGCTGCTTCATCTTCTCTTGGGCTAAGTGCAAAACCAGCTGCCTGTATTCCATGTCCTAGAGAGCTAAGCGTCTAACAGAACTGAAGCTTGCACCCTGACAGCAGAGGATGGAAGTTACCAAACACAGCGCTGAGTCTGGGTTGCTTCTCAAAACCTCTCTTTACTCCCTGGAAAACTGAAATGCAAGAGGTGCCTGGACAACCATCTCCAGCAACCTCATGGAAAACCTGCAGGCTGGAGGCAGCTGTGGAGCTTAGGGTATCCCTGCTCCTGCTACTCCCAAGTCACTATAACTACTCATCAAGTCAGTGAAGAGCAATGGAGCCAGGAGTCACAGGGTTGAAAAGACACATAGCCTCTATAGCTGGGTCTATTACTTCCAAACTGTCCTGTGACCTGCAGGTGAGCCAGTCCATATGGTTATATTTAAGGAGGTACTTATACACTTGCAGGACTCCAAGAGATGGCTTGTTTGTCTTTAATTCCCTTGCAAGAAGTCTCCTTGCAATGCTTCGCTACAGCCATGCAGCCATCCTGAGCTCCCGACCCATGCTCCTCCCAACCCTCACATGCTCTGCTGCTCTCCATCGTTCTGTGGACATGTGGAAAACACACCAGCAGGACCCATTCCACATAGGGAAATGCCATTGCTGGAAGGCAGAGAACGACAGCTCTTCCCCAGCCTTCCATTTGCAGACTAACTTATGAGATGCAGTTCCGATGGAGAAACCTTTCACCGTGCAGTAACGGTGTCGACTCTGCTTTTGGACGAGCAACAGAAGTCAGAATTTCCAAGATTCCTCATTCCCCAGCAAAATATGGCCAAGGGAAAGCCAGCTGTGACACCCCTACAAATATGCTGTATATGAATGCTGGAGGGCTGTATGGAAACTGAATAGCACACCTCTGGTATTTGCAGTGTATGCATTTTTTCCAAGACCAAAGCCTATTTTCACGGGGTTATAAATCAGCTATAATAAAAAATTAATTCTCAGCCCAAAACACTGCCCAATAGTAAGTTTTTTAAAAATATATTTAAAAAAACACCATAGTATTGTGGGGGGTTACGTTTCCACAGGTTCAGCTTCTGGAATTTTGTCACACCCCTATCTGGTCATGCAGAGCAGGACCGTTCTCTGAATTTCAAATGAAATCTCATAGAAAATGGGCTCAAATTCAATAGCCTGGATTCGACCTATAGGAAAATAGCAAAGGGAATGGCTGCCCTTGGCAGGTCAACTGTAATCAGCTGCTAAACCCTGAAGCGTGTT